ACTGCCATGTCATTTTTTTTACAGGTGTGCATATGAGGTGTCATTCTATTTTGACACATCATCATGCTTCAGTTAATTAACAGGACACGTCATTGGATTTTGAATGGAGGGACCAAATTGGGGTAAAAATGGTAAACAGTAGGGACCAAATCAGGGATTTTTTTAGTTCAGGGACCAAATCGGGGGTCCGTACAATAGTTGAGGGACCAAAAAGGGGTTTTAACCTTTTTTTTTTTGTATGAACCATTCAGTATCTAAAAATTTATTTGGTTACCGATTAATCTAAATTCAAACCGAGCAGAATTCAGTTTATGGTAAAGTTTTCCTCACAAGTTTTAATAAAACTACATTCTCAAAATTTAAAATTAAAATCTTTAATTAAATTAAAAAAATTTTCTATCAACTCCTCCATCTACTCATGGTTCAACCATTTCTTTGTTATCAAAACAATACTTATGTTTTAAATTTTAAATGGAGTCCATGGACCATCAAACCAAAGAGCTGCTTCTTGTTTGGTTTAAATCCACCAATGAGCTGTCTAATCAATTCTACTCCCACGTGATGTCAGAAAGTCACATGCAGCTTCTTACAATCATTTCTCATTCTTTGGTTATGCTTTCCCATGACTTAATCAGTCACCAAGATTTCAAACCTCTAATAATAACCTGAAAGAGCACTGCTAGGGGCACTCGCCTCCTGCACTCTCTGGCCAGCACTTTCACTTTTATTGGGCCACGTTATTTTGGTCGTCAGAGGTTGCACTTCTAAGTCTAAAACGAGCTTACGTGGCCCAATGAAAGAGGAAGTGTTGCCGGAGAGTGCAAGAGGCGAGTGCCCCTAGCACTGCTCATCACCTGAATACGCATCACATGATTGGTAATTCAAATTTCATACTTAAATAGAATCTTTAATCCTTAATCTCAATTCGCTTTTGTATTATTTATTATATTATTTTAAAAGGTATTTTATTTCTTTTATATCTCGTGAATAATTTATAAACCAGGTATAACTCTTTCTCTTTTTAATTTCTTTCAAGTAGGTCAAGGTTGAAATTTCTTTCAATATCAAAAAAAAAAAGAAGAAAAGCATCCAAGACATTATTTTAAAGAACAAAAATATATAGTATAATTTAAATTATATCAAATTACATTATATTAATTATTAAATGAGAATAACCTTTTTTTTTTTATGTTAAGAGTTCTCGTGTCATTTAATAATTTATATTTATAACCTAATACAATTTAAATTTTTAAATAAAATATCCTTAAAAAAAAATTAAAATGTAGTTCGTGCAATATTATGTTAAAAGAAAATTCTTCCTTCATAATATTTATTTCAAACAAATAAGAGGTTTGTTTTGTTTAGGGTTTATAATGTATACTTTATATTTTATAATTATTAATAAAAAAATAATATTAAAAAAATTATTTTTTTTATCAATATTTATAAAATATATATTATAGAAAACAAACTGCGCATTACCTTTCTGGTATTATTTATTAAACAACAAGTTTGTTCATTTTGAGACATTACAACTCAAAAGGTATGGTGTAATGATAAAATATCAAGCGATAGCTTACTTTGGAATTGGATCTATAGCATTTTTATTTCTTTTTCTTAGGAAGGGATGGTCACATTTAGATTGAATAAAAATATTGGATCAACAACGTAACAATCATAACGGTTAGTGGAATTTCTGTTAATTAATTTAATTAGAGAATGAAATTTTTGTTAACAAAAATTCAGGATTTCATTGATTGCAAACAATTCTTGCTATTTTTGTTTATAAAATCCACCAATGATCATTCGCCGTTGCTTTATGATGCTTAATTCTAACGCGGGTTGGGGCCTCCAAAACACAAAGGACATGTGAAGATTTTCCACTTATTTTTATTGGTTGGAATAAAAAAAAAAACTTTATTTTTTAAAATAAAATTTTAAATTTAAGTTTTATAATAAAAAAATAAAATTTAAAGAATCTTTTATAAAATTCTTCAATTTTAAATTAATTAAGTTACAATATAATTTTTAAATATAAAAAATTTAATTTTTAAAAAAATTAAAAATTTAAGTTCTGAAAATCTTAAATTTAAACTTCAACGTAGGTGAAGAAGAGAGAAAAACAACATTTCTTATTATATAACTCCACTTATGTTAAATGAAAGAAAAAAAAAAAAAGAAAAGGAAAAATATGATTTAGTCCCTGAAGGGTCACTATTCTACCCTTTCTCCCTAAATTTTATAATTATTGTTAATTTCCCCCAAGAACTTTGTGTATATTGTAAGAAGAATAATTATTTGTTCCCCAAATAAAAATTCACCCTATTCCAGAGTCACCAATTTTGGTTTTGGGCTGTATACAGGTATACACAACATACATGGTTATGTTGATTGAATTCTAGGCATACTTGACTCATTGTTTGCATAGATTTAATCAACTTTACTAATATTGCTAAAAAATTGATTGACACATTTTTTATTTTTAAAGACTAGAACCATGATTGAACATAAAATTAACAGTGGACTAAAATGTAACTAAGTATATACATTAAGTCAAGAAGAAAAATATAGGAAAACTCCAATTTTGGGCAAAAGTCTACTTTTAGCCCATCACTTTATCAAATTTGAATTTTTTTCTTTAATTTTAATAAGTGAGAAGTTAAAATCTATAAATTTAGTAAAATAAAAAGTTAAAAATATCATGAGAATGATTAAAACTTTTAAATTTAATAAGGGGAAGGGCTCAAAATAAGCTTTTCTCCAATTTTCTGAGGGGGCGAGGGGAGCACGAAATTTGACACGAACAGACTCAAACTAAAACCCTCCCTATTTATATTTCCATTATTTCCTGTCCCTTTCTCTTACCCTTCGTTTACTCTTCAGTCACTCTGTTTCTCATCGCTTCTCCGCTAGAAATGGCCCAGGCTTTCGCATGCCTCGTGCTCTTTGCTCTCGTGGCCAGCGCCGCCCTTGGCCAGGCTCCCGGACCGGCGCCAACCAGGTCTCCCAAGGTTGCTACCCCTGCTCCAGCTCCCAAAGTTGCAGTTTCTCCCCCAACAACTGCCCCGATCACTCCTCCAACTTCTTCCCCGAAGGCATCTCCACCACCCTCCGTCCCCTCTCCAGCCGCAAGCCCCTCCTCTTCTCCATCTGCCCCTCCTCCTTCTCCTCCTGCTCCTCCCATGGCTCCTAGCTCCGGTCCATCCGTGGCTGTGCCTCCAAATTCCGCCTCTGGCGGCTCTCCGACCGGCTCTTCAACTTCTCCCACCAGCACTCCAACTTCTTCTCCAAACGGTGCCGCGTTGAACAGACTCACTATCGCTGGATCTGCCGCATCAGTTGCCTTGGCGGCTGCTTTGTTGCTGTAGATGAGTAGATCTGACTGCAGAGCTGATGATTTAGTCATTCTTACCTTATTTAGTAGGTTTTCCGTTTGTTTTCGTCTAAATTTTCATCATATGATCTGACGGTGATGATGATTTCCATATCTACGCTTGCGATTGAGATTTGATTTCTTAGACCCTTGTCATTGCCATTGTTATTATTATTATTATAATTTATATTCCCCTATTATGGATTCTTTCTGTTAATTAATTATTATCATTCTATATATTTCGATTTCTATGTTTATTTCAATTGATTCCGGACTCTATATATTAATCATCTCTGTTTTTTTTTTTTTTTTTTACATTATCTCTGTTTATTTTATTATTGGGCGATGATGCATGGATAATTTTTTACATTATTTTTTATATAATTTTTACATATTATTAAATATATTTAATATCTTAAAATTCACATCCATAAAAAAAATCAATTTTCAACCACTTAAGTAACTTAGTCAAGACTTAGTCAAGCTCGTTCAAGTTCTCATGATAAGAGATAGGTGATATAGTCCTTTATTATTAACAAGGTGTTCTTACTTATTTAAAAACTTTGGGTTAAGGTAAACTTCAAATTCTTGATATGTCAAGCCCGCTAATAGGAATGAAATTAGGTGTTAGAGAATCTTAATCCTTAATTAGCAAAATCGTGATTCGTTATTTGAAAGAGAGAGAGGTGAGAGATTGTGTTAAGGGGGTGGAAAGGAAGAACAGCTGGGAATAGTCCGTCTTAAGTCGTTAGTATTCTTTCTTGCTTCTTTTTCTTTTTCTGTTTGGATTTTATTTTTGAATAAAAAAGTGCCATGTGCGGACAGCTGTTGTCGCGGATGCCATGTGCACTTTGACAGGCGGTCGTAGGGTCAGTTTTCGATTCGGCCAAGATGGGCTTGGCCCCTTTTACCCCAAAAAAAGAAGAGATGGGCTTGTCACACGCCGCCTGCTGGCTGTAGTCATTGATTAGTGGGGATCACCATGTGGGTTACATGTTCAACTCTTAAGAAACTTTATATTTTTTGTTAAATTTAAAATAGGTACTAATTGCCTTCTGTTAAAAAAGGGAAAAAAAAAGGATGGGGTTGATCCTATGATGAACAATAGTTTTACACAAGCACAATAAAGAACCGACTCATCCATGAAAACAAAGCAACGTTTATCCTCAATACAAACGAGATCAAATCATAAGAAAAACCGAAATAATAATTAAGCACTGCCTCTATCCTGGCCCCCCAACTTATGACACAACCAACACAAACAATGCAATCATAGTCATCACCAAAGCCTCAACGGAGGAGACAGCGCCGGAAGAGGATGGTACTGTAGTTGTGGGTTTAGTAGTAACGGGCGTTGGGGTGGTAACTGTTGTGTTGGTGGCAGGCGGGGTGCCACTGGAAGATGGAGTCCCGGAGGGTGCGGCTGCAGCTGCCACATCGACAGCAAGTTTCATGCCACTCCCACAATGGCCAGTCACACCACAGATGAAGTAATGAGTCCCCGCTGTCTTGAGAGGGATGGTGGTGGCACCACTCTGGTCTGTGCTGATGTAATTTCCCACAGTGCACGTGTTGTAGTCACTAGCATTAACTTCATCTACCGTATGCGCACCACCTCCGTAATTGAACACTAAACAAATAAAGTAAAATTCAACATGTAAGTTCACAGATCAAATCCAAAAAGTATTTTATTAAAAGTATATATTATTCAATCTTGTGCTGTGTACAATCTATATTACTAAAATACAAATCTTTAGAATGGAAAGGCTTATTCTTGTGTTTAAGGGACTAGCTTCATCAGATGGTATATATTGTGCAGCATTTATATTTGCAAAAAAGTATTTTTCAATCTTGACCGGAAAACCAAAACGGAGTAATAGTGTACTATAAAAGCTAAAAAGAACTCACCTAGGCTATCACCAACTGCAAAGGTCTTGCCTTTGGCCCAAGTGGTGTAATCAACACCAGTGGCCCAGCCGGAAGAATCGCCAACAGTGTAAACAGTGGCCAACGTTGGCACGGCCATGCACAAGGCCAGCAGAACACAAGCAATTCCGGTAACTGAACCCCTTAAGCCGGCCATCCTTGTGAAAACAGAGAAATTGTTTACAGAGGAGGAGATTAATTAAGAAGAGGAGATAGACACAGAGAGGCTATTGCAGGAATGATTGAGGGAGTGGAGGATTGTTTATATAATGACATTGAGGGAGTTGGAGTAAGTAAATGTTTGGTCCACTTAATTCCACAAAAGCCTATAGCTTTTGAAAAGGACCCCTTTCAAAGCGATGACCCTCCATACCTAATCCAAGGTTCACATTTATTAGCATCCCTTGAAATGACGGTTGTTAATAAGTGGATATAATATTGTTGTTAAGAAGCCAGTTCATAGAAGCACTTAAGGACATAAATTATGGATTCAAGAAAAAGGGAAAAACACTAATTCATTCACTTTTTTGATACTTTATAAACTAATGGATAGTGATTTGTGAACGAAGAAAAATCGCCCAAGTTTCTCATTCTTAAGAGAACCTTTCTTAGCAATGTTTTGCCGTGCAAGAATTATGTCTAATATATTCAAGTTTGAATTTAAGTATTGAGATTAGTACACTTAAAAAAATTAATTTTTTAATAAATTAAATTAATATGAGAAGCACTTTTTAAATTATTTGTTAGAAATTAATTTTAAAATGTATAAAAGTTAACTAAAAACAACTTAACTATAAATTAAGGGAGAAAAAGAAGAATTATGTTCAATACAGATGAAAAAGGTGGTCTTAATCATCAGAATGGCATTTTTTTTTTCTTTAATTCATGAAAACAGGTTTGAAAATGTAAAGAAGGCAACCTGAAGGGACAGTTGACACAATAAGGTGGAGATATTGATTGACCTTCTTTTCGATACAAATCAAAATTTCAAGCCCAAAAGGCAGATAGGGAAAGAGAAATTAGGATTCTCTCAAGATTTTTAGGAGAAGGATGGGGACATGTAGATTTTGTATTTTGATCTAAACCTCCCACCTAACCTATGAACAAATGTCCTCGCTTGCATGATTTCAGCTTGTGTCAAGAGGGAACGTGTTACTGATTATTCGAATTATGAACTGTTAGAGATAGGTTAAAAATGTAATTAATATATTTTTTAATTATTAAATTACATAAAAAATAAAGTTTGATTTTTATTTTATCATTAATCATTTAAATTAATACATATGATATTAGTATTAAACTTGATATTAACTTTTTTATTTTTTTTATATAACTTAACAAATAAAAAATATATTAATTACATTTTTATCTTGTGCACTAGACACTTAATAAAAAAATAGTTTATTTAAGTTGTATTTTAAAAACATAAATTAATGATGTAATAAATATATTTTTATAATTAATTTATGTAAAAAATTATAAAAATTAATATTTATTTTAATACTATTAATACAGAAATAATTTAATTAATTAATTTAAAATTAATACATATATATTTTTTATATAAATTAATTATAAAAAAAATATTAATTACATTTAAGACACAAGTAAAAATTCCGTTAGAAATATTCAACTATGAAATTGAGGAATATAAGCATGCAGGACATCAAAAGGTGTGCACTTGGGGGTGGTGGCCTGGTGGGTGGGTTCGGTAGAACTGGCGTTTGGTTGTACTGGTGGTGTCCGTTGGGTTTAGGCCAACCACTCAAAGTTGTTCAAGCGTAACCCAGTGTGGTCTCTAGTCGTCCTTTCAAGGTCCACCAACCACACCCTTATGTGAGATCCCTTTCGTTATATATGTAAAAGTTAATGAATATTATTTTTTTTTATAAGAAATAAAGAAATATATTAAATAATAAAAATTTACAACATAATTTCTATCTCATAACATTATTATCTAAAACAATATAGCTTAAAGACAAAATCAAAAGTATAATTTATAGTACTAGTAACATATTTAAATTATATCCATGACAAATATAGATAATTAAGTAAAAAAAAATCATCTATAATTAGAGATTGCAATTACAATTGTTGTATGGTTTAAATAGGGCTACTAATGTAGAAAGAAAAATCACTATGAGTATCAAAAGCTACTAAACGTTATCACTTATTTAATTAGTTTCATGGGGAGAGCAAGGGATTGCGGCAGCAAATAGTTCCCAACTTGCAAGTTGCCGCCCTATCTATTCTTAAAAAATAACCAACAAGAGGGGCATAGTCCTCCTCCATACAAGCACAAGGCACCTCACTCGTCTCCATGTGCTCTCAACATGATCCCACCTTTTCCAATCCTTTTCAAGTCCTTGCTATCAAAACTCATTAAGGGAACTAGAGCCCCATTATCGATTTGAATATCATTCTTCCCTTGTAAAACACAATCGACTTCACTGGCAGCATCCCTTTCCTTTTGTATTCGGCTACTTAATTGGAAATTGGTGTGAACCAGTGTCTCCAAGCTTGACCCCCGCCCAGATGCCATTTGAGGAGATGTGTTGGAGCAAGATTCTTGCCTTTCGAATAGGAGAAACCTTATCCACCAGCAAGAGCAATTCCCTCAGTATTCCAGTTGTAGCATTTTGAAATCAACAATAGATGTAAAACTAGACGACCTCGTAGGATGTCAAAACATTATAAAACCTAAATATACTACTGCTTTGTGGTCCCTTGGGTTGGAGTTTCCAAAGCAAGGTAGTCGATTAAGATGAAGGGAGAGATCAAGAGGAGGAAAGTAGGGGTAAGAAAAGTGGGGGTAAGAAGAAAGAAAAGATGAAGAAACTCTTCTATCGAATGGAAACTTTAGGAAGGAAACTCGTCGCCATTGATTTCAACCATAAGAGCAATGCATGGGAGCTCAAATTTAATGCATATTAATTTTGATTTTAAATAAAAGTTAAAATTTTAATTTATAATTAAAAATTAAAATTTTTATTA